TTCTCTTTCTCCTCTCCCTCCCTCCCCCCCCTCACTCTCTCTCTCTCTTTCTCTCTTGCTCTCTTTCTCTCTCTCTCTCACTCTTCCTCTTTCCGTCTTTCGCTTTCCGTTTCGTAACGGCAAAGCTGCCGGAGGCAGACGTCACCCACGCGACTCGCTTCGCGAAATAAGCGAACTGGCGTTTGTGTGGCTGTATTTCCGCCAGAGTGGTATCGTCGATTGTCGAGCTAATTCCTCGGTGTGCACAGTCAGATGAATCCGTCGAGTCTCTGAAGCACAGATTTTGCATGCGCGAAAGGGAATAGCTGACAAAGTATTTCTTGTAAGATGCAACAAAAAAATATTTCCACCACCTTTATAAACGTTTCTCTACGGGTTTTTGACGCAAGATATCGTGTTCCTACAGAATATTTATAGCTATAGCGCAACATGTTTTCGTGCTACCATGCTTCGGAGTTACTCGGAAACGATCATTTCATGCACGAATCTACTTTTTCACGTGGTTTTTTTTTTTTCATTTTTTTCTAAATATTCCCCCGCGTATAAACGTAAAAACCTACATTTTTTTTTTAGTTTTAATTAATGATAGATACATGTGATAAAAGCGAGAGGATGAATTTTTCAAATATTTAAAACAATGCTCCTCTAGTCTACTTAAAAAAATTCGCAGCGTTTAACATCGCTTGAATCTCACTGAGTTAACACCAATTCTTTCTTACTCTTAACACCCTCAATCATTTTCAAGCTGAAATTGTTCATATCTGTTCTATACTTTCTGAGAAATTGGGTGCTACGCTCGAAGGAGTATAAACGAGCGGGGAAACCATTAGGGAGCGAGATATCCGTATACTAAGACCATATGGCCTCGCCGCGTTACATTTATTATAAGCCCACAAATTCACATACACTCGAATAATCGGAGTCAGAAAATTGAGGTCCTTCCGTTCGAAACGGCCGTCCGAATCCGGGTCGAACGCTGGAATATTTCACATCTAATCGTCTCAGCGGTTGCGATTTTAAGGATTTACGAAAGCGCTCGATATAAAATTCAGGCTCACCTAAATTTTAGCACCTTTAAAGTCCTATATAACCCGGAAATCTTCACATTCTGATATTTTATATCACACCGAAATCATCGAGAAACGATACGCGGCAAAATTTTATTTTCACCGATCGAAATCCAGATTCTCGTTATAATATTTTCCTCTCGATCCCATGAAGAGAACAATTTTCAACTTTATGTTTCTCACGTTCTTAGGTACATATTTGTCGACAAACTTCACGCATCGATCGGATTTTGACGTCTCTTTTATTCTGACTTCCACACGTCCCGCGCGAACGATAAAATACCGGTACGTTATGTCCCGCTATTATAATTCATTCACCGATCGATCGAGGTCCTTCATCGCCAGCGGCGAAGCTGTCCGCTCGCGCGCGACCGTGTCACGCGTAAAGATTGCAAACTCACGAAAGGATTCAAATCGCCGAACGTCGACCAAAACGTGAGCAAGAGCGTGCCACGTAAATTGCCTCGTTATCGTCGCCATCGCCATTATTTACGACCCTTAACGAGGGAAACCTCATACTCTCCACGGCCGTCAGACTCGCGTGAGGTACTCGTCTACACGCCAGGCCACTTCCTCCATTCTCCGGCTCTTTTGCTTTTTCGCATCTCCTAGTCCTATTTCACCCTCCCCTCTTCCCCCTTCTCTCTCTCTCTCTCTCTCTCTCTCTCTCTCTCTCTCTCTCTCTCTCTCTCTTTCACCGACACTCTGCCCATGATTTACCTGTCATCAGATTGAAACATCACTCCGATTAATTAAAACCGAGCTGAGAATACATCAATTCAACCAGCTCGTTAAACTATAGACCCTGCGTTCCCCCACGCGGCACAAAACCGTCGCTTTGGCCGCAACGGACACGATCGGTTAGACGACACATTGACAAAGTTTGGAAATGCCCGCAGCCGACACTGACAAAGCCAGGAAATTACCGTTTTTGCGCGAATCCCACTTGACACTTGAAATTTTGCGGTGTTTGAAAAAAAGAAACCCCCCTCCCCCCCCTCCGCCGGGTGATCCTCATTTCGGAATTAATTCCCACTAATTGAAGAATAATCCAGGATCGTTAAGGAGTAATGTGCAGTATTATTATACGCTGCGTGATGCGCATATTTGATTACTGTACATTGAGGGGGTTGCGTTTGTTAAATGTATTAATGAACACGAGTCCATCCGCGCTGCCAACCTCGCCGAATATAATTGAATCGAATCAAGAGATGGAATCGCTCTGATACAATTCGCGAGTTCTATACAGTGGTGCAGCGAAACAAATTGTGGTATTAGCGATCGCCGTGTACGGGCTTATAAAAAGCCCCGGCAATGAATGGCGAAATTTACGAAAATTGAAGACCCTTCCTTACATCATGTATTGCAGGTATGCGCGGTGTGCCGGTGTGTTCCACGCGTCCAGCAGATTAATCATAGGAAACACAACGGCGCGCGTAATAGAAATGACGTCTCGGGGGTGGCTACTACGAAATGATAAAGGGGCGAGAGCCTTACGCCGGACGTAAAGTCCAGATCCAAGAGTCGCTCGGCGAAATTGAAAAGTGCACGAGTTTTCGCGAGCAAGAGCGGCACGAGGATAGCATCCGGATAGCACGCCGGAGAGACGGGAGAGCAACTCGCGTGGTGGCGCCGGTAACCCTGAATTACGGGAAGAGCGAGACCGCTTAACCGGAGGAGGAAAAATAAAACTGGGAGAACGGAAATGAAATTGGCTACTCCCAGTTCACCCGCTAAGGAAGCGCCGTTAATTAGCCAGCTGTATTCAGGGAGTCGTAAACCGACGCAGGGCGAAGTTAGGTGGGATAAAGTCGTGGAGGAAAGGTCTCGCTCTTTATTTTTTTTTTTCTCCTCCTCTTCCTCCCCCTCCCTCCTCCTCCTGCCCTTCTCCTTCTTCTTCGCGCCGAACGATGGCCGTCCCAATTTCCGCAGCGACGTTCTCGATCGATTTCGCGGTCGTTTCGCGGCGGTCAGATTAATGAATCGAATTTTCAACTCGACGCCAGGCTTTTATCCACGACGAGATAAAGTAAAGTCTTAAAGCGCGCGGCCTCGGGATAGATCCTCGTTACGGAGCGACGCCTTTTCGCGCGGCAACTTCGCGTAAAAAACGCGATTATACCACGCCACGCCGCGGCCGGTTCGTTCGTCTACTTTAATCCGATATTATGTTTAATCCGATACTCGGACGTAAAGTATTACCCGCGCGACGTTTCGCGGAAACGCGCGAGTGCGCTAAATATTGTGCAAAAAAATAAGAGCATGTCGTAATGGGCGTCAAGAGCGCGGTAGGGACAGAAGCTTTCGCAACTCGCTGCAAATTACGTCGTGCGCGTCCGCCGGCAGCTAATTATTATTAAAACGATTGTTGAAACGACATACCCGCAACTCTCCCGTGAATTTTCAAATGAAATTCTAGAATTTTAAAGTATCTCACGTCGCGTCCATTAATTATCTGCGCGCGTGTGTATTCACGTATGACGATAAATTCGATACACACAGACGTGACAATAATTTAAAATAACGAAGAAATATAGACGTTATTATTCTATAGAGAGACAGAGAATCTTCGTCTTCGCCGGATCGTCCGTAGACCGCAACGATTACTGCGCCTGTAATAAATCGTTAGCAGTTAAGGATTTCAAGCGGCGATTTGCAAGGAAGCCGCACTCGCGCGCGATAAAATTCATCTCTGGGACGCGACTGTCGCGCGCGGCTCGTCGACGGGGAAACGAAGATGGTCATCATTTCTGGGGTATATCTGGGAGTGACAGCTGTTTTAGGATAACCACGCTGTGAGAAATACGATAACGAAACCGACATTCGCCGTAACGAATAGCCGCGAGTGCGCCGCAATATCGTAACGAGGTTACACTATAAAGGATAATAACCGGAAATATATCTGGAACTACGGAAAATTGTATAGACGGCAACGTGTATATAAACCGACGGAGTTTGGAATGGTTAAATAACAAGTTTTGATAAGCTTTTGCACAGACGTTAATACCGAACGCTGTACATGCGAACGAGTCGACTCCATCAGTCAAATTTAATCACTCTCAGCCTTCTAAACAAATCCCGAAACTATATCCTTTAATACTCTAAATTTTTAATTGCTTATGCACTATTTAAAAAAATGAAATGTACTCCAGCATTTCTA